GACCAGAAGAATGAACGCCTGACACACTCACCTGATATGCTAGTAGCCACCAGCAGAAACAACACCCGTCAATTAAAGGAGGAAAACAGGGTCCTTGACCATGAGCGGCCTGCAGAACTTCTCTCTGCTGACTCCACAGGAAGGAGAGAGTGCTCCAGCCAGGCCCTGGCGCTGCGTCTCTTCCCAGCAGGACAGGCTCCCATCTGAGGGGGCCCACGCCATGCCTGCCCGCCAGCCTTCTGACTCCTATTTCCTGTAGGGTCAGCCGAGGGGGCAGATGAGCCAGGCAGAGGAAAGCAGCTTTATTTACTGATTCAGAATGGAAAACAGATGTCCGAGAGCCCTGCTGGGCCCAGGCTCACCCTGGACAGAGGCTGGGCCTGTTCTTAGCTATGACCCATCCACCAACCCCCTGTTCCCTATACCAAGTCCAGATGGAGCTCCTTCCAGATTCTAATAAGACTTTTGATTTATTGAGGCTAAGTGACCTTTACCTCATGGCTCAATCCCGAACATACCAGCTCTCCCAGCAGAAGAACAGGACTAACACGGAGCAGGGGGCATTTGTGAGGAAACATGAATATTGTGGAGAGGAATGTGGCCTGAGAGAATCAGGCCATCGAGGCTCAATAGCAGCCTGGTCATGGGTCAACCATGTATTCACAATCACTGTATCAGTCACCAATGCTGTGTAACAAGTTGCCACAAAACTTAGTGGCTCAAAACTGTTTATTTGCTCACTGTTCTAAAATCTGGGCAGAACAGTTCACTTATCTTCCATATCATGCTATGTTTTGTAAATGAAGTATGAGGGGACAGTGGGGCAGGTATGCAAGACAAGGAGACAAGTTAAATAGGATGTCTACCCTGTTTCGCATCTCCCCATGCCTTATAGGTAGCTCCTTTTCCTTTCAGTTCTTCCTTACTTACCAGTAAGAAGGTGAGTGTGTGGAGAACACATGCAGACCAAGCAGAGAACTAAAAGACACACACAGGCACACATGCATGCACATGCGCGCGCGCGCACACACACACACACACACACACACACACACACACGCACACGAATAGCCACATCCTGTCCATTGCAAACATGACCTGGAGTCACCCAGTGGGGTGAGTGGGGAGGGAGAGGAAAACCAACACCATTTTGAGTGTGTGTGTGTGTCATTCTGGAGGTGGAATCTGTGGCTTCACGTACGCTAGACAAGCACTCTGTCACTAAGCCACATCTCTAGCCTTGGTTGAATGCAGAGTTTTCACACTGGGCTACATCCCCATCCCTTTTTATATTTTGAGACAAGAGTTTTGCCAAGTTGTCCGGGCTGGGTTGGACTTTGCAGCCCCCTGCCTCAGCCTCCCAGCGTGCTGGGATCACAGGCACATACCACTATGCTTGGTTGTGGTCCGCCTTGTGAAGGGAGGGACAGTGTTCTTATATACAGGAGGCAGAGCTTGCTGGTGGATAATGCAATGACCACAGGTCATAACCTTTCTGATCTTCAGGGTCCTTATTGTCAAGTGGGACTATTTCTGGGCACTTCACAGGGTTGTCTGAGGAATGTTCGGTTGCAATTGCTAGAACATGATGGTGTTCGTTGACAGTTGGCCCTCCCCTCCTACCTTCTAATCACTTTTTATCCATGCTTACCCATTGGCTAATCACTCTTCATCCATGCTTACCTATTGGCTGTTCCATTTCATTCACTCGTTCATTCATCTTCATTCATTCATTGAGCCCGTGAGCCAGATCCGCTCGCTTTAGGAGCTAGCTCACAGGAGACCAAAAAAAAAAAAAAAAAAGATAATAAAAACAAGGCGCATATATAACACAGGTACTTTGTTAGCTGGTGGAAGATGCGAAGAAGAAAATATCAGGGCCGGAGAGTGCACGCTGAACCCAGGGCTGCACAGGTGGCTGCAGAGGTGGCTGTCGCAGGCGGGACACCTGCCTGGGGGGGACGATGCCTGCCTAGGGAGGAGTCCTGAGGCTGCAGATGGAGAGCCAGCAGGTCCGCCATCATTGCCTGTGGGATGGGGTGGGGTGGGGCCCCAGGTGGCTGGAGGAAGCAGGAGAGACGGGTGCAGTGTCTCCTGAGGCTCAGGCCCCAGCAGTCCTGGGCTGCTCTGACCCACAGCGCCTCTCCCCCTCCCTGGGCGGGCGCTGGCTCAGTCCCACGGGAGCCTTTCCTCAGCCTTGGGGAATCACTCTGCGCTCTTAGCTGGAGTGGCCTGGGCAGAGCTGGCCAGGCCCTCATGAACGTGGCCGGGAAAGCCCGGGTGCACAGGCTGATTTCCTTCCCCTCCCAGCCTGCCCTTCCTGGTCCTGGTCAGGTCCAGTCCTGCCCCCTGGGCTGGCTTCTAGCTACTTGTTCTCTGTCTGGAATGTGCTCCTCACTCCCACCCTGCTAACGCCTGAACTCCAAGCATAGGTCAGAGGTCAGTTTCTCAAGGCGGCTCCCAGGTCACACGGTGCAACACCCTGACCTGCGCGTGCACACACACACGTTCCCCCATCTCCAAGCACCGCTGGCCATTTCTCTCCATAGCACCCACTACTTAATGTATTTATTCTCTCTTCCCCCAAAATGGGGGTCCCACGAGGGCAGGTGTCTTTTCCCTGCTCCTTGCCATTTCCAAGGTGCCTAGAGCTGAGCTGGGTGATGGTAAGGACTGTCATTAGGGCCTGAGCTGAGGGAACGAGAGAGCAGCTTGTGGGAGAAGCAGGGGTGCTGCCCTGTCCTTCAAAGTCCCAGCAGGAACTCCGCCCTGCACACGCGCGCGTTGCACACCTGCGTCCCTGCAGACAGCCCCACCTCCCGCTGGCCCTCGCGCGTGCCGCTGACGTGACTATGGTTTTGAGGCCCCAGAGGTGCACATTCGAGTCAGAGCGTCCTGTCCTCTGCGGCTGCTGTGGAGGTGGGGACGGGCCCTGCAAACACGCACATGCAAGGCCTGCTCTTCCTGCACAGGAGCACACACCACGGGTGCTCACGCAGGTGGATGGTGTCACTCTGGGCTGGCTGCCCTGCCGAGCTGGGGCCCGCTATGCCTGCCCCACTGGCCAGAGGGAGGTGGAGGAAGGGCTGCGGGCATCTCCCCTCCCCCAAACCTCCCGCTCTGCTCTGCTGCTGTGCCCTGCTCGGGGCACTGCTCTGCGTGTCAGTTCCTGCCTCAGGGAGGTGGCTGTCTCTTCCGCTGCTCCTGCCCAAACCACTTCCCCATGGCCCCGGCTCATGTTCAGCCCGAGGGGCCCCAGCTTGTTTGCCTGGTGACCGCAGAGCACCCACTGCACGGCTGGTACCCCCGAGGATGCTGGCCGCCTGAGGCTCCCAGACTGCTGGGGGCAGAGTGCACACCATTAGCACCTCTCCTTGAGGGCCTGGTGGGAGACGGGACCCCAGCACCCAGGTCAGCGCCAGTTTGGGATGGCCTTGCGCAAGTCTCAGCCTCTTTCCCGATGCCCCCCTTGCAGAGCAGTCCTGAGGGTTAAGCAGCTTGGTACATACAAGAGCTGTCCATCAACACTGGCCCCACCCTCATCGAGCAGTAGCTTCAGGCAGCCCCAGCTTCCAGGTCACCCAGGAGGGGAGACTCAGAGCCTGGGGCCACTCTGGGGATCTGGGTGCAGCAGATGTGAGGACTGGGTGGGGCCTGAAGTCACACGGGGGATAGGCGTCCCTCAATAGGGTTCCTCTGCTGCCCACGAAGCCCCACCTCCTGGGGCCTCAATTTCCCCAAGTCCCAAAAGGCCTGCATTGTGACATCACAGCCTGAAAGGCGAGGGGTGGGGGGTCAGGGCTTTGCAGTGCTGGGCCGACCATCTTAACTTCTGCCTCTGCAGCTGCCTGTCCCATACCTGGGACCTCAGCCTCAACGGGCAAGGTGAGGCCCCGACTTCCCGCCTCCCGGCTCTGGGACCCAAACAGGCAGGATGGCGAGTTTGGGGGTGGCTGGTCTCCCCCACAGCAGCCTGCACAAAGGAGGAAGGAAGAGAGCCAGCCAAGCACACTGCAGCCGGAGGAAGTTGAGAGGAGGCCTGCAGTGCCACAGCACCGCCGCCCCCACCCACTGATGTCACAGGACAGCCTGCTCCTGCCCAGCCCTGTGGGGTCGCTCGGGGCGCACCACCCCTCATTTGTGCGCTCATCTGGGCTCTGTCCAGGTTTTTGCAAAGTCCTGCCCCATTGCTCACGCCAGGCCTCTTCCATGGAGGCGGCCGAGGAGTGTTTTCAGCCCATGGCCACGCCTCCCCAGGCCTGCCCTGGTCAATACCCACTCAACACCTCTCCTGTGCCAAGAAATTTTACATCCTCCCTAATCTCCACAACACCTGGTATTTTCCAGGGAAGGGAACTGGTTCAGAGAGGCCAGGCGACTTGTCTGAACTTACACTGCCCGTAGGCAGGTGGTTTGGCTGGTCTCGTAGCCCAGGCTCTGGTCACAAATCCCCCCACACCTGCCAAGGGTGAACTGGCAGTGTTCTCTGCAAGTGAGGCTCCTGCTTATCAAGGAGGAAATATCACCAGTCACCGGGAAGCCAGTGCCCCAGGGCGGCCGCAGGCCTCTGGCGCAGCGGGGTGGGTTAGAGAACTTTCCTTGGCACTGGGAGCCTGCTAGGAGGGCGCTGCTGAGAAGGATCCTGCCCTCGCCACCTCAGGCCTTGTCAGAGCCACCCACCCGCTGAAGGGGGCCGGCACCTTCACCCTGGCGCTTTTATCTTGTTCATGGCTTTTACTATCACTCACGGTTTCATGCGTCTAGTTATTTATTTACTCTCCCACCCAGCAGACTGTGAGCTACAGGATAGCCTAGAGGAGCACCTGGCCCACAATTTTTTCATTCCAATTTCTTGTGAAATGAATGAAAAAGAACTCAGTGAAGGGCGTCAGGTGACAGAGGAAGATCAAATTTACCAAGCAGGAGCTGAGTAGATAACTCTAGGCAGAGAAGGGGAAAGCACAGTAATTTAGAAAAGGGAAGAGGCAGGGCCGCCGCGCACAGCCACGCGGTCTGGCAGGGAGACTGCAGGATGAATGATGTGTTCTCTAGTTGCGCAGTTTTCAGCTTGCACAACTGTCCACGGTGCTCCGCTCCGTAGGAAAGAACCAGACAGTTTTGGCCCCCTTGGGGAGCTGAGTGGGTAAGGGTACAGCGAGTGCCGGGGGTTTATAGGTGCTGGTGTCAAGAGGAACAGGCTGTACCCTCCAGGAGGACGCCACATGGTCGCGGTTAGCAGTTTGCCATCCGGTGTTGTCTCGAGACGGTTGTCCGACTGCAGAGAGCAGCTGCCGAGCTGTTAGCTGTCCGTCTACCTGGGACGGGGTGGGGAAAACCACCGGCACACCCCACAGACACATCAAACTCTGTGGATACAGATAATGGCAAAGGCGGAGCGGGAGGGCCATTTCCGGAGCTGGCTGGCAGCGCGCTCCGGAGGTAGAGGACACAGTGTTCTAGGTCTCAGTGAGGACTTGTCCCATTGCGGAGCCTGGTCCCACCGGCCGGGCACAACAACAATCGCCTGGTGGTTGCGGCTGTCTGGATGAGTCACCTTGCCCACAGTGAGCCGTGCTCGATGTTATCAGCAGCCCCACTTGCTTAATTCCTGGGTGACATCACCCGCCTCCGTCCCCTCCTTCTCGGCAGTGAAGCCTGCAGCCTGGCACATCCTGGAAGGGACGCCTTGCACAGCCCTTGCCAGGAGCCACCGAGCCAGGTAAACAAGCATTCAGCCATTCTCAACGATGGCCTACTTTCTGCCTAGGTCCTCAGTTTACCTCCGAGAGGTGCTGTCTGGCATGACGTTGCCCCCACTCTCTTGGGCAGGGCAGCTAACTGCCCCCACAGTCACCCATGGGCCCAGAGTCCTGCTCCCGAGTGCCGCCCAGGGCAGGCCTGGTTGCCCCAGAGCCTCTGGCATGGCCTACAGTGTCCCTGGGCCTCCCAGGTCCACACAGGGCCCCTGATCCCCCCCACACACCATTTCCCCCCTTCTGCCCAGGTCTTAGCACCTTGCTGGGAGCCAAGAAGCCCTGTCCTCTCACTCCTGAGTGCTGGCCCTTGCTCAGTGCACATGAAGCTGCCCTGGTGACACAGGTGCCCCGAGGCTGGCTCTGGCTAGAAGGAAAGGTTGTCAGCAACTCCTTCCCATCAGCAACGAGCCAGAGCCAGAGGGTGAGGCCGGTGTGGAGAGCAGGCGGTGAGAAGCCGACTGGGGCGGGGCCTCGTTGGCCCCAGGGCACGGCTCTTCAGTGTCAGCACTGGACAGGGGAGGGAGAGGTTTCAAGTGACAGCAGTCGCTTGCATTCTAGGTATTCGATCAGAAGGAATTCTTCCCCAGAAGGAAAAAACCACAGGAGCCAAAGAACCCACCGAGGAGTCACACTCAGGCCCTGTCCGATGAGGAGAGCAGGTGGCCGAGCTCCTGGAGGGCCAGGCTGCAAAGCCACTGCCTTGCCGCTCAGCAGAGTCAGCCTGGAGTCACGCTGGTCTCCGGGCAGCCAAGCCTCACTGCACTCTGGGCTCTCCTCCATCAGCTTTACTTACAGAGCGGAGTTCACAGCAGCACCCCCGCAAGATGCACGTCTGGAGGGTAACAACCACCACTGGCAAACGCAGACCCTTACACTCTTTGCCAGTTCTAGAGCTCAACCTAGAGGGTGTTTCTTCTGTTGTGCTATCCTCCTGGGTGTAGACGAAGCTCAGATTCCAGTCAACTCTGACTGTTTCCTTCCATAGGAGTGCCGAGCCTGACTTAGGCTGTGTTCTGGCTTCTCCTCCGTTCACCAGAGCACTCTACCACCTCCATAGCCCACGCATGCTCAAGCCCACCTCTGCCTCTCCTGCTTGTAGTGCTAGATCTCAGCTCATGGTCACAGCCTCAACACCAGGACAGAGGTGGGCTCACCCTGACCACGGTCCTCTACTCACCACCTCTGGTGAGCCATCTCTTCTGCAGGACCCAACCGTTTTTTGTTTTTTGAGACAGGGTCTCACTATAACCTTAACTCACTATATAGTTCAGGTTGACCTTAACTCACTATGTGGTCCAGGTTGACCTGTAACCCAGAGCAATCCTCCTGCCTCAGCCTCCTGAGTGCTGTGATTACAGGTATGCCTATCATGGTGGCTAGATCCCATCACATGGATAGGGAGAGGATTCTTCTCCTCTTCCCCACTCCCACACTCTCCTTAGGCTAGAAACCATCAGGCATAGGCCTTCCACACTCAGCAGCGGCGGGCTTTGCGATACCACGTGCCACCCTCTCTTCTTGGTGGCTCCTTCCTTGCCTCTCTGGTTTCACACCCTGCCCTGTAGACACAGGCAGACTGTGTACATGCTGGACAGAGCTGGCCCCAAATCGCTTCCTTGCATTGCTCAGGCTGCTGGGAAAAGCCCTTCCTGTCCTGAAGAGTCCCCTCCACGTGGAGCAGACACCTCCTCAGCGGCTCCCCAGCTGTGAACTCGGCCCAACCCTGGCCCCAGGCCCTCAGACAGAACTGCATCCCCTCTCCAGGGGCCCCAGGCAGCCCAGGAGGAATCTAGTTGTACCAGTTTTTCATGGTGGGGGGGGGTCTCAGATAAGGTAGATAGGGAGCCCAGGTCACTCACTCTCTCTGAACCTTCCTTTCCTCATCTGTGAAATGGGATAATAACAGTACCTGCTTCTCAGGAGGAGCAGCTGAGCCTCCCAAGTGCTTAGCCTCTGGCCTGGCATGCAGGAGGGTGCAGCCAGGGGCATCCATGGAGTCCCTGTTGTTATGGCTAGGAGAACTCATGGGTGAGCCAGAGTCCCTTCCCAGGGCTTTCCAGCAACCCCCTGCCCTGGCACACTCCCTCTTCCCCTTCCTGGCCATCTGCTGTTTCCTCCAAGACCAGGGCTGGGGCAAGTCCACCTCTTCCCCTTTGCCTGCAGACTTCCTCTTGAGACCCAGCACCATCTACTCCAGTGTCAGGACCACAGCAGTGACGTGCTCAGGACCACAGGGAGTGAGATGCCGACCTGATGTGCTGGTGAACCTGAGTCTGGGCTCCAGAACCAAGATTCCATCCACCCTGCCCTGCTGCTGCCCAGCACATGTATAACCTCAGTCTTCTTCTCCACAAAATGGGCACACTAATTGTTTCTTCCTTCTCCTCACCAGAGGAGTGGAAAAAGTACAGGGTGAGACTGGAAAGTTGTGGGGAGCTGGAGACTGTTGGATACATGCCAGGATGGCAGACAAAACCTAAGGCACAGGGAGGCCTTACCACGTGGCGGGCCACCTCCCTCCTAGTCCCCAGTGCCTGAGTCCACAGCGCCCCCTGCTGGCGAGCTATACAGAAGCTCCCTGTGGGCGCACCCGCAGCACACTGCTTTACCCCGCTGTCGCTGAGAAGGAGTCCATGTTCTCAGGCTGAGCAGGCAGAGGGTGAACGGTGCCCAGGCATCAGGAAACCTAGACCTGGGAGGGGGAGCAGGGCTTCACCTCAGAAGGGCATTCCCTAGACTAAGAGTGCACCGTGCTTCTGGGCCCCCTGAAATCTTGGCGGAGGCTAGCGATCTCCAAACCCAGAAGCCACCCTGTGTCTTTGGAGGCTGCATGGTCAATGAGAAGCAGGGCAAACCTTGGGACACCAGGCTGGCCCCTTTGCCCCTCGTGTTCCCTTTACCCACCCATGGGCAGTGGCTTTGTTACTGCCTCGGTCTCCTTGGCCTGAATCTGTGTTGAGTGCTACAGATTCAGGGGGACCAAGTCCTTCCTGTGCCAACCCCCCGAGGCCTCAGACATGCCACTGTCTTCCCCATCGGCTCCCACCCCCCTTCTATCTGGAGTCTGCTAAGGAGGCAGCCACGGTGAACATGTGCAGCACAGGAGAACATTCAGCCCGATCCCTGGGAACCCCCCATGAACCTCAGTCTGTGCCTATGTAGGGCTGGGGCTCCAGGACGCCTCCTCCAGGAAGCCTTCCTTGAGGTACTCTGCCTCTGCTCTTTCCTGACTCCAGGCTTTTGCAGGATCTGCCGGCAGGCGCTGCTTTGTGCCGCACATATTTATCTTATCTATCCCCATAGAAGCTCCAGGCCTCCCGAGGGAAGGTTTATGTCACTTGCTCACCAGGAGGCAGATGTCTGTGCTTCTTTACATCTTCATAAATCTGCCCTTGGGAGCCACTGACAATGTCTGAAAGTAATTTTGATGGGATGGGGAAGTGGGTAACACTAGGATCTAGTGGGTGGATGTTAGGGATCTGTAATAGCCCTAACACAGCCCAGAACAGCCTCCTGCCCCCAGCCCAAGATTATCCAGTCTTAAATGTCGATGTGCCCAGGGTGAGAAACCCTGATTTAAATGAATGCGTGGATTAGGTATTAATATTGTGATGAGCAGCAATGGCTGCTATAGGAGAGTTGCTCGTTCTATTGAGGGGGAGGCCAAGTACCAGCAGGTGGACACTGGTTTCTCTTTCCTGCCTCCTATGCAGTCCCAGGAGCCTTGCACACCTTTTCTGGGCTGGAGGAGGGGCCAGGGCCTGTGTGGAGTCCAGGGTGAAGGGGGCCTCTGTGCGGACCCTTTGGGAGCAGCGGGTGCCTTGGCTGGTGTGTGTGATGAGGCTGGAGAAGCTTCTTTCAGTCCCGATGGTCGCAGAGTTCTCTGACATGCATGGGCATTTCTCCTCTGCTGATGGCAGGACCCTTGGCAGGGCTGAGGGTGGAGCCCTGACTTCCACCCGCTTTGCCAGATATGGGGGGGGGGTCACTGTGGCCGTAACTGCCCTCCCTGGGAAAGGCTGGAAGAACAAGAAGGCTTTGACAGGCTCCATCAAAGCTCCTGCATCCCCTGGGGACTGACTGGGTGGGTGGGGGTACAAAGAGCTTCCAGCTGGGGATAGCTGCTGGCCAGGCCCCAGTGCAGAGGTGGAGGCTGCAAAGGGTGTCCCCTTTTGGCTGGGGTTAAGAATGTCCCAGAGGCTGGTCACCCCAAGAGAGCCCTCTGGAGGCTTTTCAGGGCCTTTCCTGCCCCCTTCCTGGGTGGGCTCAAGTGGCCAAGGGCTCCGGGCAGCTGAGTGAAAAACCCTTTCATTGTGAGGGGCTTGATGTCCACCCCCAGGGACACAGGTCTGAAAGGGCAGGACAGGCAGATCCTTCTAATCCAGAGGAGTCTGCTCTCCAGTCAGCCAGAGACTCCCAGCATGCTTCACTCAGCACAGAGCTGCCCTCTCAGAGGCGATCCGTGCCCAGAGTCTGAGGTTGGCCCGGGGAAGGATGGAGCTCAGGGGACCCTTGAGCTGGCTGGAAAGCCATGAGATCTGCATCGTGTGTGGTTTCCACAATGGGAAGGAGCTCTGTGCACCCTTGGCCCATGACCTCGGGCTGCTTAGCACATATTTTGGAGTTAGGCAGCCCCAGACCAGATGCTTCAATAGGTTCCTAGGATTCCTTTATATCCTTTGAGCATCAGTTTGCTCATCCATAAATGGGTATATTGCTTTTAGTCTGACATGAAAACAAAGATCTATTGGACGTTGGTTTTTAATTCATTTGTAGCTTGCAGAAAGCACAGTTGGGAGAAACTTGGGGTTCCCCTGGAAATCACAGGTGTGCGATGGCTGCGGGTGCAGCTGAAACTGGCTGTGACCCTGTTACCTTCAGGGAGCGTGAGTACACGTAAGTGCATGTGGCAGTGTGAGCGTACAGGGGTATGATTTGGTTCTGTCTGGCTGCGTGCTTGTCTGGCTTGTCTGAGGGACCCAGGCGGGGCAGGAGGGTCCTCAATATGGGCAGTGTGTGCCTTGTGGGCATGGCTCTGGTCCAGCATCTGAGGTCCTGGGTCTGCATTCTGGGCTTCCCCGCCTCACTCTTCCTCGTGCTGAGTGTGCCTGTGCTGTCTGGTGTGTGTGGTGTGCCTGGCCTTTGGGTCCTTTCCATCAGTGTCTCTACAGGTTGATATGTGGGAGCTGAGGTTAAGCCATGGACCCTAGCGGGGTGGCTTTGAAGACTGCCCAGGCTTCCTGCCCAGGCAGGCTGGGGTGGGAGGCCATACTTGGAAATAACCAGAGACCAGAGGTGAACGAAGCTGCCTGAAGTTATAGTCCTAATTTAAATCAGAGCTAGAGGGGTCTTACCGTTCCCCGTTAATTTTCTCACTGTACACTTGGGGTCTGAGACTGGCACTGTGGGCTGCCAGGGGTCAGGGCTGCTGTTGGGGGACAGGCAGGAGCTGTAGAAGAACCCCATCTATGGTCAGCTGCAGCCAGGCCTCTTCAAAACTGACCCTAGAGGTAAGAGCCTGAAAAACAATGCAACAATTTTCAGTATACATATGTCACAAATGTTGCATGGAACATTTTGCACTAAAAAGTTACTCATAATTTTTCTGGAATTCAAATGTAACTAGATACCCTATATTCCTATTTCTGAGGTCTGCCAACATCTCCCCAAATGGACCAAGAGGCTGAGAGAAGTGGGGAGAGTCTGGCTGTGTCCCACCCCAGGCCTGCCAACCCAAGTCAGCCTGTCAGGAAAAAGCCCACTTCCAGAAGCTTCCTCACGCCTCCCTTTCCCTGCATCTCATGAATGTTCCTTGGGGTCCATCTGAGCTGGGGCCAGGAGACCCAAACTCTACCTGGTAGATCCACCTCATCTCACTCAGTAGACTCGAGTGGTGGCCAGGGAAACTCCATGAGGCCTGGAAGGCAGACTGGCCAGTGACCTCTTTTCTACTCACACACTGGTTGGTTTGCAGAGCCTCTGGTCTCTGCTGGTCAAGAGCCTCTATTGTGATGAGTCAAACATGCCTTTTCCCAAGTCATACCCGATGACTATTGGCTACGCAGCCTGTTTGCCCATCAAGAGGACACCAGAAGTGTAACGATAGTGAGGGCGCTCTGGGGGGGGCCTGGCGACCCATGCTGGAAACTCGAGACCTCCAGGACTCGACCTTCCGTGCACCCTGCCCCTCCAGAGCCTGTGGACTCTTCTCAGACTGATGCGTTCAAAGATGTGAGACCAAGTCAGGACTGCGTAAGACACCAGGGACACTAAAACACAGACTCTAAACATCACGGAACCAATTCTATGCTCCTTCCAAAGCTCTTCCATGGTGCCCATTTGACAGTGGTCATGGATAATAAAGGGTATTTTAAAGGATTTGCGGTAACTCTGAAACAGAGTGTCTGTGGCTTCTCCTGGTGACAAGATCTCAGGTTCCGGTAACACTGATAGAGAGTTTTCCTATATTCACAAGAGGCAGTGCTAAATTTCAGGTAAAGGTTACTGAAAATATATATTCCTTCCCACTCAAATTCGTGGATCCCTAAATTCTCTTTATAAACCTGTGGGAAACAGAGGATGTTTATGGGTCCCAGGTAAAGAACACTTGCTTGAGAGGGAAACCCATGAGAAGGTTAGGAAGGAATGTAAGAGCCATCTGTGCTCAAAAGTGGGGGACAGAGGGGAAGGCAAGGACAGGCAAGGGTGGTCGGTATGTGGGTGCACTCTGTGACTGACTCCAGGATCCCAAAGAAGCCCCCTAGGACCCCCCTGCCTGACTGCAGTCTTTGGGTTAAGCATTGTCCTCCAAGGCTCTCATCACCCTGTGGAGCACGTGGTCAGAACTTGCCCTTCCTTAGCACCAGTGCTGAGGCCTGGGTCCTGGGGTGTAGGAGAGAAGGCACAAAGGGGGACGTCTCGGGCAGTGCTAGTGACCAGGCCAGGCCAAGGCCCTGGTCCTGAAAGGAGTCAGGCACCTTTGAAGAGGAGGAGCCTGGACAGAGGCGGGGCTGTGTCCAAGCCAGAGCTGGCTTTTGTCTTGCAGGGTAAGAGTGCACAGGATGAGATGCATGGGGCGGAAGCCATCAGGAAGTTTCTGGAAGTCTGTGCCTTTCACCTCCTTCCTGAACTTCCTCTCCCCTCCTCCCACTCAGCAGTTTCCTCTTTTTTTCAAAATACAATTCAAAACATTTAATCTCAAAGGATCTTTCTGCTTGAACAGTGGAAGCAAGCTGCCTCTGAAGTTATAAGAGAAAGACAGGACATGAAACGGTCCGTTAGCCACGTGAAGTGACAAATCTCTGGCTGCTGGCCACCTGTGTCCTGACTGCAGAAGACATCAGCTAGGGCCACAGCTCAGGGTTGCTGTCCTGCCTGTGTCTCCACCTGGCCCAAAGTGGCCCTACCTCTTGGGGACAATTCAGACATAAGTACGTAAAGCCTGGGTTTGGGGAGGATTCGCACCCTGCAGCCACAGAGGCAGCAAATCACGGCAGACACTATGCCTGCAGATCAGATCCCTGGACTCCTTTCCACTGTAATGACTTGGAATCTTCTAGCAGCCCCTGGTGACTCTGTGACAGTCTGATGCCATCTTGAGCAACCATGTCCCCAAACTGGTGGCCCCTTGCTCTTGAGCTTCTGGAGGGGGTTTCTGGGGGGCCTCTCCAGACAGTGCTTCCAAGTGGGAACCGAGGGACTGAACTTCCCTGCTCTGCAAACTGCCTCTGAGGGATGCAGTCACCCCGAAGCCAGGCTGTGAGGCGGCGTATGGTGGGATGCATGTCGCTCGCTGTGTGGAACTCTGTGGTGCCAGGTGACAAAAGACACAGATTGACACAATATAATGTGTTGGTGTCAACTGACAAGTGTTTGCTTCAACCACTGCTCAGGAATGAGCCCTAGGGGAAGTGTCAGGAATTCATCTTGGGGCTCGCTCAAGGGATGGATGACCCTGAGATTCTGTGATCTAATACATTTTGGGAATGCTATGCTGGGATGTGAGTACTGGCATAAGAGCCAGGACTGGTGTCCCCCAAGGTGCTGGAGTGGACCATTGTATGGTGGCCCTCAGGGAATCTCATCTTTGGAATTCGTGCCTTTGTCTAGCTCTCTCCCGACATGGGCTTGGACACATGGACACTTACTTTGGACAATGTGACAGCCAGTGCTGGGGGAGCAAAGGCAAAAGGACAGCAAGTTTGAGCCCAGTCTGGGGCTGTAGTGATTGAATGAGGCCCTGTCGCAAAATTAAAAAAATAGAAAAAACGTCCAGGAAAAGATCTCTGGGTACAGGGGGAAAATGACATTGGCAAGTTTTGCACAAGCATTGATCTGCTAAGCACTCTGTCTTTTGGGGCCCATCCTTTTGGCGCACTGAAAAAGAGGCTTTTGCAAGCTCACAGGTGTTGTGACAACACGCCAGGCAGGAGTCAGCTGACGTGAAGTGACCAGGATCTCACGGAGGAGCTGAGGTGGGAGGGACCACCTGAGTGACTTTCCTTGGAAGAAGACCAGTTGTCTCCATTTGGCTCGAGCTGGCCCTGCTTCCGTGTACTGATACGTGCAGAGGTGGCTAGTTTGTCTCTATCCCCTCAGTTGGTCTTAAGCAACACGAATGGGTCTAGCGGAGGTGCTAGGGTTAGGGTTAGGGTTACTAACGATATGCCTTAGTGTTTTTATTCTTGCCATGTGTTGCACTGAAAATGGTAGATTGGCATTAACTTATTAGAATTCTAACTTTTCCATGAGATTACAAGTGTGAATTTTTTTGGACCTCAACAAGGTCATGAAGGGCCTTCTATACTGGGGCACCAGATATTTTTGTAGAGTCTTCTTGAACTTCTCAGATTTGTTTCACTGAGTAAGTGGCACTAACTGAAGAGACACCCAGCTGAGCCCTGCCCAAATTCTTGACCCATAGAATTATGAGCCATAGATAATGAATCTTTGCTGATTTAAACCACTAAGTTTCAGAATGGTTTGTTACACAGCAATAGCTAGCTGAGACACTTGTCATGTGTGTGGAGTACAGGTATGTGGAATGGGTGAATGACAAATTGCAATTCTGGATGTGAAGCTTATCTCTTCCATTGATTTTGGTACTCATTAAGACTTGGACACATCAACTTTCTGATATGATACCTGTGATGGTGAATTATGTGTCAACTTGACCTATCCAGGTGCCTGGATATTTAGTCAAACATAGTGAGTTTGCATTTCCAAAATATGCCCGTGGCTGCTGCATGGCAGGAACACTGGCACAGAGGAAGAGCTGTGTGGAGCCAAGGGCAGGCAGGAGGAGGCTGGGAGCAGGGTGGTGCTGAGACATAGGCAGAAGGGAAAGACTGACTGGAAAGCACTGAGCTAAGGTAAAAGCACTGAATGTGGTTGGTTGCCCAGTTGCATATGAGGAGGGAGTCAGGGAGGCCCAGGGCAGGGATGGTAGACTAGGTGGTGGTTCCACTTGGTATGGGACAGAATATGGGGATGGCAGAGCCAGGGGCAAGGGACAGCTACCTACTCACTGGGCGAACTTGGGATATGTGATATCAGCCAAAGGACAAGCCGGGGGTTTAGCTCAGTGGCATAAGCACTTGCCTGCCAATCTTGAGGTTGTGAGTTCGATCCTCAGTACCAAAAAAAAAAAAAAAAAAAAAAAAAAACCTTACTAGTATCTATTCATCAGAGCTCAGGCATCACCAAGGCCTGGCATGGATGGGAGGAGGGTGCAGAGTTCAGGTGGCAGCTATAACCAGGGAGGGCACAGAGTGGGGTTGGAGTGAGGGCAGTGTTAAATTAAGGGGAGCAGCTGGCTGTGGTGGTGCATGCCTGTCATCCCAGCACTCAGAATGCTGAGGCAGGAGGATCATCTCAAATTTGAGGCCACCCTGGACTACATAATGAATTCAAGTCTAGCCTGAACTACGTAGTGAGATCTTGCCTTTAAAAAAAATAATAATTTTAGTTAAAAATAGTAATTAATTAATTAATTAATTAAAATAAATAAAGGGGGATGAAGTTCAAGACCACATTCATGGAGTAGCACATTTTCTTTTTTTTTTTTCTATTGAATTTATATATATTTTTTTTTAATTTTTATTTAAGGAGAAAAGAAAAAAAAAGCAGAGAAAGGGTACAAGTTATACAGATTTGCAGAAAAAAAATGAACAGTAGGAAATCACTAGTTAATGGATTACATACTGTCATCTTAGAAATAATTGTTCAAGTCACAAAATTAAAGCTTGTAAAGTGGACATTCCATCAATGATACTGCAAACAGTTCTGTTCAATGATCCAATAAAACTCTGTGATATCATATTCTATCTTATACACTTAAATATACATGCAGTTATATAGTTCAGAGCACTTTCTTTTCCTCTCTTTTGTACAATGACTATTACACATTTTGGGTTTCATTGCTCTCACGGTTCTTATTACTTTTTTGGAAGAGAGTAAAACCAAATGTGACATAACAGAACAGAATCGGTCAAGTCAAAAGGGTGGACATAATAGATAATGTGAAAACATAATACAAGGTGATCAACAATGGTTACCATAGTGCCTCCCGCTATCTCTAATAGAATTGCCTATACCATTAGTTATAATACAATTGAACAAAACAGTAAAGAACAAAACCGACAAAGCCAAACCATTGGAGACATTGTAGGTCTTCAAAAGTAGATAAAAGTCAATGAGAATGGGCGTTATAATGAATCTCATTATCTTCACAGCTGATGCCTAAATTTTCGAACCTGATACTATCCAGCAAAACAGAATAGGGGAACATCAGTCAAAAACAAGATGGTGAGAGTAATACAGGGCTTTAAATCAAGGTAATAGAAAGTCAAAGTGGGTTACTATAATATATCCTGCTATTTTTTTTCCTTTAATTAAAAGGATAAAAATTTAAAAAAGTATTAAAAAAGTAAATAATGGAGTGGAGATTGAGATAAAAGAGGGCATAACAACGAAACAGCACAGATCAAAACATAACCATTTAAGCAGAATAGTGTTTCATCACCAGATAATCCTGACCTAAAAGTAGTTACCATATTGTCTCTTTCCTTGAAATCCTTGAGTACAACTTCGTATACTGTAGCATTAAGTATATCAAAACAATGTAAAACCATTTAAGAGAATGACAGCATTACAGAGTATTTAGAATCGACTAACAAAATGAACAATGGTTTCTGTATAATCTCCTTGTCTTTAAAAGGTTTTTGCTTATACTATTGTACATAATAAAATCCAGTAAGATACAACCTATTTAGACCATTGGAGACAGAAGGACAAAAGCTAGATGAGACTTCAAAACAAGATGATACTGGGGGCTGGGGATTTAGCTCAGCGGCATAAGTGCCTGCCTTGCAAACAGGCAGTCGTGAGTTCAATCC